GTGGAAGCAAATGTGAGGGACCAGGCAGTCGGAGCAGTACTTATGCAGGATCACGGACGCGGTTTACAGCCTATCGCCTACCTTAGTAAGAAACTACACGGAGCAGAACTAAACTACCCCATTCACGACAATGAAGCCTTAGCGATAGTCATAGCCTTCAAGGCGTGGAGGTGTTACCTAGAGGGAGCCAAGACTACAGTCTATACTAACCACTGCAGTCTCAAATACCTGAAGTCACAGCCGACACTCTTACGACGACAGGTGCGGTGGGTGGACTTCCTGGAAACTCACTTGCACTACGACATCGTCTACAAGCCCGGGCTACACATCAAAGCAGACGCATTGAGCCGCCCCGGGCATGTAGCAGGCATCCAGCTCGACGGGATGAACCCTCTACTCAAGGGTCTATTCCAACATGGGTACTCCGTTGACGCAGAGTTTGCTACAGCACAGACGAAGAAGCTGTTACAGTGGGAGAAAGACCTAGCGGTAAGGAAGGGTTCAGAAAAGATTTGGGTACCGAATTACGCCCCGCTACGGCAGATCCTATTGGAGGAGTTTCACGACGTACCTTACGCGGGACATTTCGGGAGCAACTAGACGCTAACAGGGATAGCGAAGTATTACTAATGGCATGGGATGGCAGCAGACGTACAGTAGTTCGTCACCTCTTGCAACACGTGCCAGCGGATGAAGAGTAGCAAGCAGAAAAAAAGAGGGTTACTTCAGCCTCTACCCGTACCGGAGCAGCCATGGCAGGTCGTTAGCCTCGACTTTATCACACGACTTCCTTCGAACTCACGGGGGCACGATTCCATCCTCGTAGTCATCGATAAGTTCTCCAAAATGGGTCACTTCATACCGACCAACGCCACAGCTACAGCTGAAGCAACTGCTCGCCTCTTCTTTGACCGCATCATCACCATCCACGGCATCCCCACTACATTCATGTCAGACAGAGACCCAAAATTCACGAGTAAGTTCTGGAAGGAGCTCATGGGACTGTTGGGGACAAAGCTTGCAATGTCTTCAGCATACCACCCCCAGACTGACGGACAGACAGAGCGACTCAATCACGTGGTTGAACAGTTACTGCGCACAGCTTGCAAAGACGACGTCAGCCACTAGGACACACAGTTACCAACCCTAGAATTCGCTTACAACAACGCATCACATGCGGCCACAGGGAAAACTCCTTTCTTCATGTGTTACGGACGGGAACCACTCACACCACAGCACCCAACCACACCGGCACACATCCAAGCCGCACATGACTTCGTCACCACCATGCAGCAGTTATGGGAGAAGACTCAGCGTTGACTCATCACGATACAGACCTCCCAGAAGCAGTATGCAGATCGTCAGCGACGTGATCACTTAGTAGCAGTCGGAGATCAGGTGCTTCTTGACACGCGCAACTTGAACCTGTCTCACCTCCCATCCAAACTTCGGCCTCGCTTCTGTGGTCCTTTTCTCGTTGAGGCACAGGTGACACCGGTTACATTCCGCTTGCGCTTACCTACTACTTGGAAGCTTTACTACATGGTCACGTAAAAAAAGGCGCATCCAACATCGCCAACATAATCGCACGCCCACCGCCCAACTCCACGCCATCCTACTCGCCCAAACCAACCCACTATTTACAGGCCTATTCATCCACGGATACAGTACCGACCCATTTTTCACGACCGGAAATTCACAGCAATTGGCAAAAGCTAAAGGAGTCTACTACATAAAGACAAGCACCAACCGCATTTGGGTACTCGCGTACTCACTACTAAGGGAACTTTTTCTGTAGGAGGCACACGACGGAATTACCTCGGGACATTTTGGGGTGGAAAAAACGTGACAGCAACTTCAGCAGTATTACTACTGGCCGGAGCTGTTGACCGATGTACAGCACCACGTGGGCTCGTGTCCTACATGTCAGGTGATGAAGAGCTCGCAAAAAAGAAAGGCGGGTCAATTGCAGCCGATTCCACCGCCTGAGCATGTCTGCCAGCAGGTTACCATGGATTTCGTCACGGGGTTACCTTCAAACCTTGGGGGTAACAACGCAATTATGGTCGTCGTTGGCAGTTTGACGAAGATGGCACACTTCGCTGCGTGCAAGAAATCGATCTCAGTCAAAGAAACCGCTCGCCTGTTCATCGCAGTCGTCGTTCGACTGCACGGGATACCAGCCACGATAATCAGCGACCGTGACACGAAGTTCACCAGCAACTTCTGGAAGAACCTTTGGGAGCAGTCCGGGACCAGGCTACAGTTCAGCTCGTCGTACCACCCCGAGACCGACGGTCAAATGGAGCGGACGAATCAGACGATGGAGCAGTTGATTCGTGCCACGCGCGACGATTCGAAAACTTGGGAGCAACAGTTGCCTCGGATCGAGTTCGCGTACAACGCCATATCAGCGACGACGCAGCAGTCCCCGTTCTACCTGAACTGCAGGCAAAACCCTACAGTGCATATGACGCCAAGTCCGGACAACCCAACGCCACGTGCACAGCAATTCGTCGAGATTCTGCAAGCTGCCCGCACTAGAGCAGCCGAAGCAATTAAAAAAGCAAATGTCATCGCTAAGCGCAACTCTGACCGCCACCGCCACCCTATCACGTACCAATCAGGAGATTACGTACTGCTCGACACACAGAACTTAAGACCGCCCGTCGTACCGAAATTACGACCGCGCTATTGTGGACCATTCCAAACCAGCCACATGATTACCCCCGTGACAACACACTTACTATTGCCGATAGATTGGTACATCAGCCCATCATTCCATTTCAGCCTGCTTCGCCCATACATCCCAACCACGAGCCAACTGCTTCGCCACCGCCCGCCATCCATCGTAGCCCGAAACAATTATGAGCCATCGGTTTCGACACCTCACGGGAATCAGGAGAATCGAGTTCCTCGTTCGCTGGAAGGACCGCACGCCAACTGAGGATAACTAGGTGCCCCTGGCCAACATAAAAAACCACCCCGCCCTGCAAGTGTACTTGAGGAGCCGGGGTTTCCGCGATATACACGCACTCGCGTAACGGAGAGGGCTTCTTGAAGGGGGGGGGGGGGGGGGGTAGTGTAAGGATTTTTCTTGACATTCCTTAGCGCATCATGCATCATCGCGTACAGTAGCAGCCGTTGTTCGCCCGTTACTGCTAACGGGGCTTTGCCGACTTCGCGCGCACTGTTTCACCAAACCATGCACCGCTGGCCCGGCCGTGTCGGTCTACGCTTCGGGACTAGCCCAAGCCTCAATGCCAGCCTAGCACTAGCTAGCTCGCACGCACCGCGTTACCGTTTGCACGTTTCGCGTATAAATGTTCGCTCATGCATTCGTTTATTTTGTACTCGTTTGACACTTAGTGCAATCCTCGCTACCTCGATTCATTGCACCCGTAACACTACAACAACAAAACCCTCGCGAAGTTCCATGGTTGAGTTGTCATGGGTGCGTTAGCCTCGTGTACACAGTTTTCCGAGCCTTGTCACTTGCTGACCTCCGTTGAGTTGTTCAGGTCTTCAGGCCTACCACCGGAAAGTGCGGAAATCGGGTTACTTATCCGAGCCGCTCGTCCTTCAGTAAATAAAATGAAGCTGCCCGTAACTGGTTGCTTCCAAACCAATGCCAAGCCCAACTTCGAATGCATCATTCATCATACCTTTCCTGGCTGGGTGCGTGTTCACCTGACGCTAGTAGAGTACACGCACATGGCTGGGCTGTACAGAACGTGGATACTCGCAGGGTAAAAGCGTGCTGGACTGCTTTTTCATTCGTGACATTCTTCCTCATGAGATACCCACATGGTGTTTCGCGGAGCTCACGCTCAGCCCGCTGCTGCGCGCTGCTGCCAACCTCGCCGCTTTTGCCGCTCAACACAGCGCACAGTGCAATACTATCCACACAGCTAAGCAAAATGCTGCTACGAAACTTGGGGGAAGTACAGCACGGCTCGAGTGGCATGACTCCTTGGAAGGACTCCTTGTTGCAGGTGAATAGGTACAAATCGAGGCTGCTTTATCTACTCCGGATGCCGCTCCTCAGCAACTTTGGATTTGCACATCAATCGACTTTGAATCATCGCATGGTAATTTCCCTCGAGATTCTTCTACTAGCCGCCCCCACCCCGAACTTCACTTGTCATCACTCGTCGAGCGAAGGAGCCGCCATAGAAGCGTGACTCGAACTAGGTTACAGCGAGGCGTGCGTCATAAACCATATCATTCACCGCGGCGACGGCCGTTAGCGAGTCTCGATTCGAGAGTCCACGCCGTCGCCTCGTCCGACTCACACGCGGGCCGCGCGCAGGCCGCCTTTCCCGTCCGCATTCCTTCCCCATCCGCATTTCGCAACCACCGCCAGGGGGTTGCTGACCTGCATAGCTCAGGCATCCACAGTTAGCCAGGTTTGCACATCCCGTACGAGCGGCGCAAGGGGGAGGTGTTCGGTCTTCTGACACGATGGATAGTCGCGGCTCGGCCTTTCCAGCCCACGCGCTTCGATTAGTAGCAGTCTTACTGATCATCACTTTCACCCCCGCCGCCGCTGGCCGGCGGATAGGTAAGCGGCCTCCAAACGTACCGCCGCCGGAGCAACAAGTCGGAGCACGCCCTTTTTTGTCCTCAACGGCGTGCAGCACACTCTTTTTCGCCCCGCGCGGCGCCTATCATCGCCGATCAGCTCAATGCGACTCGTGGCTGATCAGCACATCTTTATCCGAGCATGTTGCCGCGTGGCACCGCACGGCACCGAGTCAGACCCAGGCCCCAGACCGTAAAACCTTCAATGAAGTTCAATCTTGACGACCTCTTCCCTCTTCTTTTCTCTCCTCTCCCAATCCCCCGAATCCATTACAGACACACTCGATACAACGTCAAACGCGAATTCTGACACAGCGACCTCTGTCGACGCGACAGCTGGCGCGGCGGCATCGGACCTCGCGGCGCTGGCGGTGGACGCGAAGACGCGTGCGGAGATTAAAGCCCTCGCGCCGCTGATGGGCAGCGCGGACCTGACGGGCGTCGATAAGCCGCCCGAACGCGCCTCGTACTTAACCAGAGACGATTTCGCCGCGGCGGCGCGCGAGTGGATCGCGACGGTGACCCGGCGCGTGCAGAAACTGATTCGGCAGGCGGGCGGCGGAGGCAAGGGGCGCGGGTCCAGCAAAAGGAACAGCGCGCGCGGGAACACCCCCCCTGTTGGTGAGAGTCACTTGCGGGCGATATTGAGGAATGGTGTTTGTTTTGATGGTGCTCTTCGAAAAAAAATCGTAACAATGATAAAATGAACACCTTAGGTTGTGGGACGAGCAAGGGGAACAGCGTGGGGGAAACTTCACTGCTGGTGGTGACAGTCGCAGGGCGGTCCGCGGTGGAATGGGGCAAAGGGCATGGGGTGTGTGGGCGCCGGGGACTGTGAATGTGACTTCTTGCTCTAATGTGCTTCGAGAGGTCAGGCTGCAGGGCGGCAGGAAGCAGCACCAGTGTGGCACGAGGACGGCACGACCAGAGGACGGCACAAGGACGGCACAAGGACGGCACGAGGGCGGCACAGGACGGCACAAGGCCCACAGGGGGGCAGCACGGGGGTGGAAGCTAGCATGGAGGGTGGAGCGCTGCTGCTGGCGTGGGTGCTCTGCAAATTCTTCCTTCTCTCACTCTCCTACCCCTCACTCTCCCCCTCCTTCTCTCCCCCCTGCCCTCCCCTTCCTGACCCTCCCCCTCCTCCCGCCGCCAGACCGCAGTCTGGGGTACGTCCCCCCCACGACCAAGGACCTCAATCCCGCCAAGCTGCCCAATCTCAACACCGTCTCGCGCTACCTCACCGTGGGTCTCACGCTCGACCCCGCCTCGCAGAAGCTCTCTTGGGATTTCAAGCGCTTTGTGGACCACCGCTCGCTGTATAAGGCCGAGGACGGGTTCGACCAGGGCAACTGCGGTGCGTGCTGTGCTGTTGACCCCCGTTGACTGATATTGGCCTGCGTTGACTGGTGTTGACCTGGTTTGCTGGTGCTTCAAACGCTTCGTGGACCACAGCGTGCTGTTTACGGCTGAGGGCAGGTTCGACCAGGGCAATGGCGGTGTGCACTCTGGACTTCTGTTGACCCGCGTTGACTGCTGTGGACCCCCGTTGACTTCTGTTGACCTGCTTTTAGATGCGGTTGACCTGTGACTGCTGTTGACCTGTGTTGAACGATGTGAACTGATGTGACTGCTGTCGACGTGCGTTGACTGCTCTCGATCTTCTTGATTTCATTTCCCTGTGGGAGGTCAACGTTTTATTGACCTGGCCTCACATTTCATCGATTCCTCGCCTCCCAGGCTCCTGCTGGGCGTACGCGGCAGCCACGGCGATTCAGGGCACGTATGACTTGTGTTGACTGCTCTTGACCTGCGTTGACTGCTGTAGACCCTCGTTGACCACTCTTGACCCGCATCTGCTGTCAACGCCTTCCCAGGTTCCTGCTGGGCGCACGCGGCAGCGCGGGAGATTCAGGGTACAACAAACAGACCTTCCCCAGCGCTTTTTAGCCAGACCCCTACCCGCTTTTTATCGACTCCTCCCCATCATGGCAGGTTCCTGCTGGGCGCACGCGGTAGCGCGGGCGATTCAGGGCGCGTATGCTCTCTTCACAGACACGGACACGTTCCCCACGGGGACTGCGCTGTCCGTGCAGCAGCTGGTGGACTGCACGGGCGCTGCTGCCTCGTGCCGGGGGGGGTACCCCGAGGCTGCCCTGCAGTATGCTGTTAAGAACGGGTTGCAGAGCGAAGAGGGTTATTCGTACACTGGTGTCAACGGCAAGTGCAGCGTCAACAAGGAGGCTGTGAGTTTTGAGTCGAGTCAAAAGGTGCCTTCTCGGTACCCCGAGGCTGCCCTGCAGTATGCCGTGAAGGGCGGGCTGCAGAGTGAAGAGAGCTACGCGTACACGGGGTTCAACGACAAGTGCGGCGTCAAGAAGGATGCGGTGAGTTGAGCGAAAAGGTAACTCGGTACCTTGAAGCAGCTCTGCAGTCGATCTGCAGCTCTTGTCGATCTGCAGTACGCTGTGAAGACCAGGGCCGGGCTGCAGTACGCTGTGAAGACCGGGTCTCAGGACGAAGTTAAACATTTCCATGTATGAGCAGGTGCCGTGGCTCTACTGGGGTCCTACCACACCAAAGTTTAACTGCTTTTGAGTCAACTCAAAAGTGCCCTGTCCCTACCGACCGGGGGCCTCCTTAGGCCGTGCATGTCTCATGCTCCCTCTTCCTCACCCAACTGCGCTTTCCCTCCCTTACCACTCCTCGCCCCTCGCCCCTGCAATGCTTGTACACTGCTCCCTCAATCCTTACCAACCCTTCCCTCCAACCCCTCTCTCCCTCCAACCCCTCCATCCCTCCAACCTCTCCCTCCCTCCAACCCCTCCCCTCAGGTCTGAGGATAAGTGCAACGTTTGGACGTACGAGGAGGTGCCACTACCAGGACCGCTTCACCCCTTCTCACCCCGTTCCTAGCATGCTGCTCCGGTTCCTACCGCCCCTCACCCCTCTCCACCGCTCTCAGGAGAAGTGGAGCATCTTGATGTACGAGCAGGTGCCACTGCCGGGGCCACTGGGGCTCATTCTCGCGCTGCAGAAGCAGCCCGTCATCGTCACCATCCGCGCCTCTGCGCAGGACTTTATTGACTACTCGGTGAGTTGACCCTGCTGCTGATGCTGATAGAATCACCCATTAAAAGGTGAAGCAGCCCGTTATAGGGTGAAGCAGCCCGTCATCGTCACCATCCGCGCCTCCTCCCAAGACTTTATCGACTACACGGTGAGTTGGCGTTCAGCTGCTGCTGCTGCTGCTGCTGCTGCTATGAACCATCCGCGCCTTTGCCCAGGACTTCATCGACTACTCGGTGAGAAGGGGTGTCTCCTTCCCATTCCCTCCTCGTCCGTCCTTCCATTGTCTGTGCCTTCGTAGGAAGCTCTATGAACCATCCACGCCTTTGCCCAGGAGTTTGGTGTTCGGCTGCTGCCGCTCACAAAGACTGTCCATGCACACTTCAATGTCTCCACCATCCGCTCCGCGCCTCTGCCCAAGACTTTATCGAATACTCGGTAAGCTGCCTGGGGCTTTGCTGCCTCTCTTCCCTCCTCTCCTCAGTCCCATCCAGACCTTTGGGTCGAGTTTTGGGTCGAGTCAAAACACTCCTCATTCACATCTGCACTTTTGGTTGGACTCAAAAGTCGCCATGTGATGCACGCAGGGTGGGAGGGGTACAACCATGAATGAAGGCCTGGTGAGGTGGGAAAGTCAAGGAGTCACTTTTTGCAGTCACCTTTTCAAGTAACTCGAACACACAAGAGGAGATGTGGAAACACAAGCGGATGACGCTCCTTTGAACCCGCAGCACACTGGCACTCTTCCCTCCTGCGTTCCTCCCCTCACAGGGAGGCATATTCGAGAGGTGGAACTGCTACGACCCCTTACGACACTGGCAGCACACTGGCAGCACACTGGCAGCACACTGGCAGCACACTGGCAGCACACTGGCAGCACACTGGCAGCACACTGGCAGCACACTGGCAGCACACTGGCAGCACACTGGCAGCACACTGGCAGCACACTGGCAGCACACTGGCAGCACACTGGCAGCACACTGGCAGCACACTGGCAGCACACTGGCAGCACACTGGCAGCACACTGGCAGCACACTCGCAGCACACTGGCAGCACACTCGCAGCACACTGGCAGCACACTGGCAGCACACTGGCAGCACACTGGCAGCACACTGGCAGCACACTGGCAGCACACTGGCAGCACACTGGCAGCACACTGGCAGCACACTCGCAGCACACTGGCAGCACACTGGCAGCACACTGGCAGCACACTGCCTCTTCCCTCCCCTCACATCCACCCACACACACCCCCCTTGCCTGCCTCCCCTCACAGGGAGGCATTTTCGAGAGCTGGAACTGCTACAGCCCCGTGGGGAAAGTCTTGGATTGTCTGATCCTTCTCCTGTCCTCTGTCGCACCCTCCTACCTTCCCTCCCCTCCCTGCGTTCCTCCCCTCACAGGGAGGCATTTTCGAGAGCTGGAACTGCTATAGCCCCGTGGGGAAAGTCTGGGGGAGCGAAGGCTCAGGGCTGGGGGCGACGGCGACAGCCACCAACAACACAGGCCTCCTAGACCACGTGATGCTGGCCGTGGGGTATAACTATGAGGAGCCGGACAGCGGAGGCAACTACTTCATTCTGAAGAACAGCTGGGGGCCGGACTGGGGCGAGGGCGGGTACATGAGGATACTCATGGAGAGCGGGCCGTTTGGCACGTGTGGCATGCTGGTCAACCGCGGGCTGTACCCTGTTGTTAGAGGTGAGTGAGAGGGGAGAGGGGTACGCTAGCACTCCGTTGTGAACGGTGAGTGAGAGGGGCCTTAGAGGGCTGTACTACCCTGTTGTGAACGGTGAGTGAAAGGGGCCTTAGAGGGCTCTAGTACCCTGATGCGCGTGTTTGCCGTGGTGGAAATCCGCCATGCTGTTGGGCACGTGCGGTTTGGCACGTGCGGTTTGGCACGTGCGGTTTGGCACGTGCGGTTTGGCACGTGCGGTTTGGCACGTGCGGTTTGGCACGTGCGGTTTGGCACGTGCGGTTTGGCACGTGCGGTTTGGCACGTGCTGTTTGGCACGTGCTGTTTGGCACGTGCTGTTTGGCACGTGCTGTTTGGCACGTGCTGCATGCGAGCTGACAAGCGAGGCAGCGGCAGTCACATCTGGCCCCCTCTCTCCCCCCCACTGTCCGACTCTTCCCTCCATTCCAGAGTCCCCTCTCTCCTGTCTCCTTTCACCCTGCCCCGTTCTCCTTCCCCCCTCTCACGTTCTCCTTTCCCGCTCCCCCGTTTTGCTTTCCCCCTCCGCCGTTCTCCTTTCCCCCTCTCCCTATCCCACACCGCCTCGCCAGCCCTCCAGAGCACGGACCCCTACAGCACAGCGCCCTGTGAGGGAGGCACATGCGTGGTGGACAAGAGAGACAGCAGCGAGTACACGTGTGTGGGGGACAAGAAGAGTCAGGGCATACCCCTTCCCCCTTCCCTTCTCTCCACCCATACTGCCAGCCCCCCAGAGCACAGACCCCTGCAGCACGGCGCCATGTGGGGGGGGCACGTGTGAGGCGGACCCGAGTGGCAACGGCAAGTACACGTGTCAGTGCTCGGACCTGCTGGTGCCAGCTGTCAACCGCGACGGCACTCCCACCTGCACCATCAGTGAGTTGTGGGAGGAGTGACTTGATCCGTTGGGCTCTTGGGGTGCCTTGGCTCTTGGAATGAGATGAAAATGAGATGAAAATGAGATGATAGGAGCCTCCTGATTGTGCCAGCTGTCAACTGCAACAGCGCACCCACGTGCACGATAATTGAGCAGGACTGTTGTTTTACGCCCACACGCACCAGCATGAAGGTAGGATGCGATGGGTGGTTCTACTTCTTACTATGCATTGGTCTTTCGGATGTGCTGTGGGGCGGTGGGACGGTGCTGTGGGCGGTGGAGGCAATGCATCAACAGCGACACTCAGCCCCAACCCCCCACCCCCTTCTCATATCCTCACTTCTTCTTCTCTCATTCCCCTTCTCCTCTTCACCTTCCTTTCAAGTCCACGTCTGCAGCGTGCTGCCCAACAGCCTGTGCGCCGTGGGGCAGGCAGTGCATCAACAGCACAAACCAGCGCCTACCCAACAGCCTGTGCGCCGTGGGGCAGGGCATCAACATCGGCGACGGCGGCTACTTATGCCTCTGCCCGCCCAACTACAAGCCCGTGAGGCAGGGCAACAATAGCAGAATCCAGCGCCTACCTTGTCTCATATCCCCCCATCTCCGTCACTGCTTCCCGTCCCCTCCCCTCCGCTTCAGACGACGTCTGCAGCATCCCAACAACCCATGCGCTGTGGGGCAGTGCGTCAACAGCAACAATCAGCCACCTTCCGCCTTCCCATTGCCCCACGCCTCTCTCATTCTCCTTTTCCCCTTCTCCCTCCCCTCTTCAGTCGACGTTTGCAGCATTCTCCCCACCAACCCGTGTGCCGTGGGGCAGTGCATCAACATCGGCGACGGCGGCTACTCGTGCCTCTGCCCGCCCAACTACAAGCCCAGCACTCTCGCCTCTGGCCAGACCACCTGCGTGCCTGGTGAGGCTGTGCTTGGTGGAGGAGGGAGGGTGCTTGGTGGAGGAGGGAGGGTGCTTGGTGGAGGAGGGAGGGAAGAGTGAGAGTTTGACATCCCACACCATCTTAGACGTCCCTCACTCTGTTTCACATGCCGCACATCCCACATCCCTCACATCCCACATGCATACCGTACATCTTCTCTCACACACCCCATGGCAGACATAGGAACGAGCACAGCAGCAGCAGCAGCAGTGTTTGCATTTTGGTTTTATTTGGAACGGATTTTGAGGCGCCTCAAGAATTCATCCAGTCGAGTGCGTTCACCATGTATGACATTGCACGTCCCACCCCACACGTGGTCTATTTGAAACGAATATGTCCATTTGAGTGCGTTCACCATGTATGGCATCCCACATGCCGCACATCTCTTCTCACACACCCCATGGCAGAGATGTCTGGGAGCATGGCAGCAGCGGTGCAGGGCACGTACACAGTGCAGGGCGGGGAGACGTGTGGCGCCATCTACGGCTTCATCGGCCTCACCCAGGAGCAGTTCCTCGCACAGAATGAGGTGCGAGGAGGGATGAGAACGGTTCCTACAGCAGAACGAGGTGAGATTGATGAGAGTGGCACGAGTGATAGGGAACGTTTCCTCGCCAGGATGTCAGCCCTTCACTGTGTGCAATCTCACAGGGATGCAGACACGTCCCCTTCCTTTTGAGTCGACTCAAAAGCAGCCCCTCGCCAGGATGTCAGCCCCGCACTGTGAACAGACTTTGAATATTCTCGAAGATTGCTCACTGCGGACAATTTCACAGGGATGCAGACACATCCCCTCACAACCGGACAGGTGCTCTGCTCGGCCTCTCAACTTGGTCCATCTCAACTCTCCCCTCCTCTCCCAACCATCCACTGTTGAGTGGACTGCGACAATCTCAAGCCGGGTCAGCAGCTCAATAGCTCATCTCCATCCCTTCTATCCATCCATCCCTGCGCACCTTCCCTATCCCTTTCCCCGCTCTATTCTCCCTTACCCCACCGTAACCCCCTCCATCCACCGTTGAGTGGACTGTGTCAATCTCAAGGCGCGTCAGGTGCTCAACGTCTCCGTCCCCTCCCTCTTTACTCAGTTTCCTATCCCTTCTCCCCTTCATTCATCCCCCTTCCCCTCCCCCCTGCCCCTATCCCATCCCCCAGGGAGTGGACTGTGACAATCTCAAGGCGGGGGCGGTGCTCAACATCTCCATCCCCTCCTCGGCTCAAGTGTGCCGCGTTCACTACACTGTCACCCAGGTGCGTTACATGTCACCCAGGTGCGTTACACGTCACCCAGGCGCGTTACATGTCACCCAGGTGCGTTACATGTCGGCCAGGTGCATTACATGTCACCCAGATACACCGTCACTCTCCGCCTTCTCACCCAAAATTTCCCCCTTCTCACCCCTTTCTCTCTCTCATTTATCTCCCCCCTCCTCTACCTCCCTTCGTGTCCCCTCTCCTCATCCCCCTAGGCGGATGCCGCAGCAAGGAGCTGTGATCCCATCGGTCCCCCCACCTCTTCCCCTGTCCGTCCCTCTCCCCGCTCCCCCCAGGCGGATGCCGCAGCAAGGAGCTGTGATCCCATCGGTTCCCCCACCTCTTCCCCTGTCCGTCCCTCTCCCCGCTCCCCCCAGGCGGATGCCGCAGCAAGGAGCTGTGATCCCATCAACACCCGCTTTGGCATCGACGTCACGACCATCAACCCCAGCCTTGACTGCTCAAGCCTCACACCCAACCAGCAGGTGCGGCGAATCAAGAGGTAGGGAACTGGGGAAGTGAGCCTATTGGTGCAGCAGGTAGGGGAGCAGGGGGGTAGGATAGTCAGTATAGACTTTAATCACTTTGGCATTGACGGTGCGACCATCAACCCCAGCCATGACCGCTCAGCCATGACCGCTCAGCCATGACCGCTCAGCCATGACCGCTCAGCCCTGACTGCTCAGCCTTGACTGCTCGACCTTGACTGCTCAGCTAGCAAGCCAGTGATTCGCCCACCGGTTCCTTTCTCCCCTCTTGCCTCTCCAACCCTCTCCTCTTCTATTCTGCTCCACTCCTCCTCTCTTCTGCTCCTCTCCTCTCCTTCTACTCCTCCCCTCCTCCTTTCTCCCTCTCCCCCTTCTGCAGATCTGCATCCAGGTGGGGGACGCAGTGGCAGGAGCAGCGGACTACAACCTCTGCACGGACTATGTGACAGCCAATCAGCCAGTGGGTCACGAGCTCCCTTTCCCTCTCTCTCTCTCTCTCCACCCAACCCTGCAGATCTGCATTCAGGTGGGGGATGCAGTGTGAGGAGCAGCGGGCTACAACCTGTGCACCAACTACCTACCGGTGCCGCACCACCTCCCGTGCTCCCTTCCGTTTGAGGTTGATTTTGAGAATTCTCAAAATCAACGTCAGGAGCAGCAGACTACAACCTCTGCACCAACTACCTGCCGGTGCCGCACCACCTCCCGTGCTCCCTTCCTCTCTCTCTCCCCCCTCCCACAGATCTGCATTCAAGTAGGAGACGCGGTGGCAGGAGCAGCGGATTACAACCTGTGCACGGACTATGTGACAGCCAATCAGTGGCAGACCTGTGCCAATGCTGTTGAGTGGTACGGCATGACGTGGTTCGACCTCTACCGCCTCAACCCCGGCATCAACTGCGACTCTCTCAGCGCGCTCACAGGCTCTGAGGTACTAACCACATGGGAGAGTGTGGCCCTGGGGATGGGGCGTTAGGGGGTGGCTCGGGGGAATGTGATCAACTGGTGCGCCCTCTCCTAGCTCCACCTCTTCGCCTCAACCCCGGCATCAACTGCGACTCCCTCAGCGCGCTCACCGGCTCCGAGGTAACTAAGAGGGTGTGGCGCCATGGTGGGTTGGTGCTAGGGCGTGTGCCCCTGGCAGTGTGAATAGAAAGCATGTGACCCTAAGGGTGCGTTGGCTTTTGAGGCGCCTCAAAAGTTGTCATGGTGGGTTGGTGCTAGGGCGTGTGCCCCTGGCAGTGTGAATAGAAAGGATGTGACCCTAAGGGTGCGTTGGCTTTTGAGGCGCCTCAGAAGTTGTCATGTGTGGGTTGGTGCTAGGGCGTGTGCATCTGACAGTGTGAATAGTCAGGATGTGACCCTAAGGGTGTGTCGGGCCTCAACCCCGGCATCAACTGCGACACACTCAGCGCACTCACAGGCTCCGAGGTACTCACAGGATGGCCCCAGGGGGGTGTGGCTCTGAGGGAGTGGCGCTAGGGGGGTGTGGCTCTGGGGGAGTGGCGCTAGGGGGGTGTGGCTCTGGGGGAGTGGCGCTAGGGGGATGTGGCTCTGGGGGAGTGGCGCTAGGGGGGTGTGGCTCTGGGGGAGTGGCGCTAGGGGGGTGTGGCTCTGGGGGAGTGGCGCTAGGGGGGTGTGGCTCTGGGGGAGTGGCGCTAGGGGGGTGTGGCTCTGGGGGAGTGGCGCTAGGGGGGTGTGGCTCTGGGGGAGTGGCGCTAAAGGGGTGTGGCTCTGGGGGAGTGGCGCTAGGGGGGTGTGGCTCTGGGGGAGTGGCGCTAAAGGGGTGTGGCTCTGGGGGAGTGGCGCTAGGGGGGTGTGGCTCTGGGGGAGTGGCGCTAAAGGGGTGTGGCTCTGGGGGAGTGGCGCTAGGGGGGTGTGGCTCTGGGGGAGTGGCGCTAGGGGGGTGTGGCTCTGGGGGAGTGGCGCTAGGGGGGTGTGGCTCTGGGGGAGTGGCGCTAGGGGGGTGTGGCTCTGGGGGAGTGGCGCTAGGGGGGTGTGGCTCTGGGGGAGTGGCGCTAGGGGGGTGTGGCTCTGGGGGAGTGGCGCTAGGGGGGTGTGGCTCTGGGGGAGTGGCGCTAAAGGGGTGTGGCTCTGGGGGAGTGGCGCTAGGGGGGTGTGGCTCTGGGGGAGTGGCGCTAAAGGGGTGTGGCTCTGGGGGAGTGGCGCTAGGGGGGTGTGGCTCTGGGGGAGTGGCGCTAAAGGGGTGTGGCTCTGGGGGAGTGGCGCTAGGGGGGTGTGGCTCTGGGGGAGTGGCGCTAGGGGGGTGTGGCTCTGGGGGAGTGGCGCTAAAGGGGTGTGGCTCTGGGGGAGTGGCGCTAGGGGGTGTGGCTCTGGGGGAGTGGCTCTGGGGGAGTGGCGCTAAAGTCTAGCCTCCGGCGGCCGGTCTACGGTCTCCACCAGGCGCCACGTGAGTGGCACGACACACTGAGGACTACTCTTGCGGCACTTGGGTTCACGCCTTCTACTCCTGACCCGTCGCTGTTTCTACGCACCGACACTTCGCTGTTGCCGTTCTACATCCTCGTTTACGTCGACGACTTGGTCTTTGCCACTGCTGACACTGAGGCTCTCGCCCACGTGAAGTCTGAGCTGCAGAAGAGACACACGTGCACAGACCTGGGTGAACTGCGCAGCTACCTTGGCTTGCAGATCACCCGGGACAGAGCACGTTCACCATCACACTGACTCAGTCACACATGGTGCAGCAGGTCCTTCAGCGCTTCGGCTTCACCTGGTCCTCAGCATAGACCACTCCTCAGGCTATAGGTCACTCGCTCTCAGCTCTGCCTTCCGATGAGTCCGTAGAGCCGAGTGGTCCTTTCCCAGAGCTAGTTGGTTGCCCCATGTACCTGATGACTTGCACTCGTCTTGACCTAGCATACCCTGTTGGCCTTCTGGCCCGCTATGTGGCTCCTGACAGGCACCGAAAGGTGCACTGGGATGTTGCAAAGAGGGTATTAGGCTACTTGTGCAGTACATCGGACATGGGGCTCATGCTTGGAGGAGGGAGCCTAGTTGTTCTCACTAGGCACTCAGACGCTTCTTGGGTTGACGACCAGGCTACTCAGCGGTCGTCACAGGGTTACACCTTTAGCCCGGGCTCTGGTTCAGTTTCTTGGCGTTCTACTCACTCGTCTTCTGTTCTCAGCTCCAGTTGTGAGGCTGAGATCTACGCCACAGCCATGGCTGCACAGGAGTTACGCTGGCTCACCTACCTGCTGACCGACCTGGGAGAGCGGCCTCGTTCTCCTCCAGTGCTGTACGTCGACAACAAGGCTGCCATTGCCTTGTGTGAGGAGCACAGACTGGAGCACAGGACGAAGCACATCGCTCTACGTTACAATCTGGCTCGAGAGTTGCAGCAGCGTGGTCAGCTTCGTCTGCTTTTGTGGCCTCTCCGGCCAACACTGCTCATATATTCACCAAGGCACTTCAGTCTGGTGATCATCAGCGTTTCTGCACTTTGCTAGGGCTTTGTGATGAAATGAGGAATGAAGAAGAGAGGGGTTTGCACTAGCAGCAGTTGGCATACATATAGAAAACCCTAAATGGGTTGTACTAGCTATAGAGTACCCCACTGCAGGCTAGACAATTATAACATTCTGACACACCCCCATAGCCAAAGTGGGGTGTAATCGGCACAATGAGCAAGAAGGCATAGAGAAGGAGTTCACAATAGGGAGCAAATCTAGAGTTAATCACAGCGGGCAAGTGAGGAGGAGGAGGAACTGTAGAGGGAGAGAAGATGGGAGGCAACGACTGAAGCTGCAGAGGCACGGGCACAGGAGCGGCACACTCAGCGGCTACCGAAGCAAGGGCGACGGACTACTGGAGTAACTGGCTCCGCGGCTATAGACGAGCGGCAGGAGCAACGGACCCACTGGCGACTGGTGCAACAGGCTCACTGGCTACCAAAGCAAGGGCGACGGACTACAGGCGCTGCAGGCGACATGACAGCTACCTTCACACAACCTCCTCTAGCTGCCCCACACCTCTCGACACACACCCCCTGCTCAAACCCTAGTTCTACTACCACAGCACCCCCCTTTCACACACCCCCTGCTGCACCCTAGGTTCACTCACACCCCACCCCCTAGCACCACTCCGTCGACTCCCACACAACCACCCCCCTCAGCGGCAGCTGCAGCAGTGGGAGACAGAGGAGGAGGAGGAGCAGGGGAGACCACACACCCGCCACCCCCTACTCGCCTCCCCCAAACCCTAACACAGGGCAGGGCGGGATGGCGGGTAGGGAGGTTACGGGGGGGGGGGGGGGGGAGGGGGGGGGCCGATGCGCGGCCTCCCAGAGCGCCAAAGCAGGCGGCAGAAGGGGCGACGCTGCCCCCCCCCCCCCCCCCCCAGGTTGCCCGCGGCCCCCCAGGGAGCCACGACGGGCGACGGGAAAAGAGGGGGGGGCGGTGCACGTGCCCCCGGTGCGCCGCGACAGGCGACGGAGCATGGCCGGGGCGGGGCCGGGGCAGGGTCGAAAGGGGCGGCGAAGGGGCCACAAGGGGCGGCGTCGGGGCCGCTGGAGGCGGCGACGGGGCCGCGAAGGGGCCGCGAGGGGCCTAGAAGGGCGGCGACGGGCCGCTAGGGGCGGCGACGGGGCCGCGAAGGGGCGGCGACAGGGCTGCAAGGGGCGGTGACGGGGCCGCTGGAGGCGACGACGAGGCCGATAGGGGCGGCGACGGGGCCGCGAAGGGGCCGCTAGGGGCCTGAAAGGTCGGCGACGGGGCCGTTAGGGGTGGCGACAGGGCCGCTGGAGGCGACGACGGGGCCGATAGGGGCGGCGACGGGGCCGCGAAGGGGCCGCGAGGGGCCTGAAAGGTCGGCGACGGGGCCGTTAGGGGCGGCGACAGGGCCGCGAAGGGGCCGCGAGGGGCCTGGAAGGGCGGCAACGGGGCCGCGAAGGGGCCGCGAGGGGCCGAGAAGGGCGGCGTTGGGGCCGCTAAGGGTCGCGCGAGGGGCACGCCACGGGGCGTGCAGCACACAGAGTAGCAGCGGAAGCAGTTGGGTGGGCCCACAGGCCAGGAGCGTAGATGCTCTGATAGCATGTGAAGAAATGAGGAATGAAAAAGAGAGGGGTTTGCACTAGCAGCAGTTGGCATACATATAGGAAACCCTAATTGAGTTGTACTCGCTATAGAGTACCCCACTGCAGGCTAGACAATTATAACATTCTGACAGGCTTGTGCCCACTTTTCCTCACTTGTTGTAGACTTTGCTTGTACTGTGATCTATATATCTATACCTGCATACTTGCTAAACATAGATCACTGTGATATTTGTGCTGTATATATGCCTCTGCATGTGAACTGGCCTTGTTGTCCTTTGCTTGTGCTCAGAGTTTGCGGTGACGTTGTGATCCACCCTGAGCTTGCTTTGGTTTTCTTGACTGGTCCTGTGACCCCTTGTTCTCCCCCACTTAGCCTATGGGGGTGTGTCAAACATTATATATGTTTCTGTTGTGTAGGCTACAGTGGGTTAGCCTTTAGGGGGTACATTTCACTAGGGTTTCCTACTTGTACTCCAACAACTTTCTAGTTCATCACTTCTTGTTTCTGACAAAGACGCGTTCGCCGCGGCGTCGCGCAAATGGCTCGCGTCGGTGAAGCAGCGCGTGCAGAAGCTGATTGAGCAGGCGGCGGGAGGCGGAGGGAAGGGGCGCGGATCTAGCAAGTGTTGAAGGTGGTTAGCTAACCACTACCTAGAGCGACCTACATCAACCTAAGGACCTACTGTGACGAGATGTGACTAAGGGAAAACGAGGACCTAAGAAGAAGAGGAGCTATCTATGTTGGGACGGTGGAAGGAGAAACACGGTAGCGGCACGACGTGTAGCGGGAATCGAAGAGAAGAAGGGGAAGTGTGCAGAAGTGGAGTAGAAAGCGGCTGAAATGTCGAGATTTCAAGCGACGTGAAGAGAAGTCACGCCGGGTCAAAGGCGCATCCAAGGAAGTCGGAAATTCGAACTCGAGGCGCGTTCGGTGCATGGTTGGATTTGGAAATTGAGCTGAGTACAAGTCAGCTCAAAATTAGGCGCGGCGCGAGGGCGAAATCAGAAATTCTTTTGCTTATAACTTGCTTTGTGTTTTCTGTTTTTGTATGCCTTCTTCAATGAAATTACTTGAACTTTCTGTCTTGGAGTTTTCCAGCACATTTCTTCACATAGTTGAGGACAGAGCTTCCTAAGGTTGCTACTAAGACTCTGAATAGTCTTTTTAGTCTAAACTAAAGGCTGCGCAAATACAAGAGCAAGGGAAACGGCGGACGCGGGAACACCACAACCGTTGGTGAGAGTCGCGCGGGGTCGCAACTATGGGTGGAGTGCGGTGGAATGAGGTTTAGGGCACGGTACAACGGTTCTCAAGGGTGTGCTGGCAGGGGTGTGAACTGAATTCTTGCTGGTAAGGTGCTTTGGGAAGGTGAGTTCACACTCGCCTCCTCCTCTCTCTCCTTCCTCCTCGCACTCTACCCTCATCCCTATGCCCCTCCTCTCCCCCTACTGTCAGACCGCAGTCTAGGCTACGTCCCCTCCACCACCAAGGACCTCGCCAAGCTGCCCAATCTCACGTCAGATCTTCTCTTCTGCTCTTCCCTCCCTCTTCTACTCCCTGCGCTCTTCCCCCTCCCCCTGCCCCTTCCCCTCCGTCAGACCGCAGTCTAGGATACACGCCTCCCACCACCAATGACCTGGCCAAGCTACATGTGCTTACACCATTCCCTCTTATCTCCCTCTTCTCTCGCTGTGCCTCCCCTCCCCCCACTGCCAGACCGCAGTCTGGGGTACGTCCCCCCCATGACCAAGGACCTTAATCCCGCCAAGCTGCCCAATCTCAACACCACGCTCGACCCCGCCTCGCAGAAGATCACGTGGGATTTCAAGAAGAGCGTGAACCACAGCAAGTATTTTCCTGAAGACGATTTCGACCAGGGCAACTGCGGTGCGTGCTGTTGGCTGCCGTTGACCCGCGTTGACTTCTGTTGACCGACGTTGAGTTCTTTTGACCGGCATTGACTTGTGTTGACCAGAGTTGAATTCTACTGACCCTCGTTGACTTTTCTTGACCGCCATTGTATTCTGTTGACTCGCGTTGACTTCTTTTGACCCGCGTTGACTTTTGTTGACCTGCAATGGCTCTGTTGACCCGCGTAGACTTCTGTTGACCTGGTTTGTCTGCTGTCGAAGTGTGGTTGACTTGTGGGCGGTCATTGACTTCATTGGCTTGGGCCCATATGCCATCAAGCCCCTCCCAAGAGCCTGCTGGGCGTACGCGTCAGCGCGGGCGGTGCAGGGTGCGTATGCGAAGCTCAAAGAGACGGACGATGATGTGTTCCCCAGCGGAATGAGCCCGTCGGTGCAGCACTTGGTGGACTGCACGGGCGTTGCTGCCTCGTGCCGGGGGGGTTACCCCGAGGCTGCCCTGCAGTATGCCGCCAAGATCGGGCTGCGGGACGAGGCGGGATATGCCTACACGGGGGAGAGCGGCAAGTGCAGTGTTAACGAGGACTCGGTGAGTTTTCAGTCGACCAAAACGACGTGAAGAACGGGATGCAGCGCTGCAGGGTGAAGCAGGCTATGCGTACACAGGGGCCAGCGGCAAGTGCAGCGTCAACAAGGATACGGTGAGGTTTCACTCGACCCGATATGTGTGCCTTGGTACCCGAAATGCACAGCGGTACTCTCAATCTGCGCTGCTTTCTTTTCCCTACCACCCCTCACCATGCCTCTCCACCTCTCTCAGGAATTCTTCAACATCAGCATGTACGAGCAGGTGCCACTGCCGCCGGGGCCGCTGGGGCTGGTGGCTGGCCAATGCTCCCTCCCTCTTCCTTACCGTGTGCTTTCTCTTCCCCACCACCCCTCACCACCCCTCTCCACCGCTCTCAGGATTTTTTCAACATCTCAATGTACGAGCTGGTGCCACTGCCGGGGCCGCTGGGGCTCATTCTTGCGCTGCAGAAGCAGCCCGTCATCGTCACCATCCGCGCCTCCTCCCAGGACTTCATCGACTACGCGGTGAGTTGGTGTTTGGCTACTGCTGCTGCTGCTGCTGTTGCTGCTGCTGGCTGCAGCTGCTGCCGCAGCTGCTGCTACTGCTGCTGCCGCTGCTGCTGCTGGTGCTGTTGTTGCTGCTGCTGCTGTTGCTGCTGCTGCTGCTGCTTCTGCTGCTGCTGCTGCCGCTGCTGCTGCTGCTGCTGCTGCTGCTGCTGCTGCTGCTGCTGCTGCTGCTGCTGCTGCTGCTGCTGCTGCTGCTGCTGCTGCTGCTGCTGCTGCTGCTACTACTGCCGCTGCTGGCTGCAGCTGCTGCTGCAGCTGCTACTGCCGCTGCTGCTGCTGCTGCTGCTGTTGCTGCTGCTGCTGCTGCTGCTGCTGCTGCTGCTGCTGCTGCTGCTGCTGCTGCTGCTGCTGCTGCTGCTGCTGCTGCTGCTGCTGCTGCTGCTGCTGCTGCTGCTATTGCTGCCGCCGCTGCTGCTGCTGCTGGCGAGACTTCGAGGGATTTAACCACACTTCCTCTTTCCCACCCACCCTCCCTACCTTCCTCCCTCCCTCCGCCCCTCACAGGAGGGCATCTAAGAGGCCTTGAACTGCTACAGCCCCGTGGGGGAGGTCTCGGAGGACACGCAGAGCGGGTCACACACCCACCTACCCGCCCACCCACCCACAACCCCATCCGCCCTCCCTCCGCCCCTCACAGGAGGGCATTTAGGAGGGCTTGAACTGCTACAACCCCGTGGGGGAGGTCGTTGTGGATACGCGGGGCAACGGGTTCAGTGCGACAGCTACAGCCACCAACAACACGGGGCTGCTGGACCACGTGATGCTGGCCGTGGGGTACAACTACGATGTGCTGGGCAGCGCGCAGAATAACTTCATTCTGAAGAACAGCTGGGGCCCGCAGTGGGGCGAGAATGGGTACATGCGGATCCGCATGGAGGGTGATCCGTTCAGCACGTGCGGCATGCTGGTCAACCGCGGGCTCTACCCCGTTGTGAACTGTGAGTGTGGGGCCTGAGAGAGGCTCTACCTTGTTGTGAACGGTGAGTGTGGGGTCTGAGAGAGGCTCTACCCTGTTGTGAACGGTAAGGGAACCATCCATTTCCAATTTTTACTCCCTTGTGCTTGTTTTTTTCTTTGGTTTTCCTTTTTTTTTTTTTTTTTTTTTCCTCTTTCCTGCCCTCTTCCTTCCATCCTTTGTTTTTTTCTTTCTTTTTTCTCCTCCTTCCTCTCCTAGCCCATAGCATCTCGCCAGCCCGCCAGACCACGGACCCCTTCGGCACGTCGCCGTACGGGGGCGGCACGTGTGTGGCGGACACAAGTGGTAACGGCAAGTACACATGTCAGTGCTCGGACCTGCTAGCACCCGCTGAAAACCGCGACGGCACACCCACCTGCATTATCAGTGAGTGGGCCCTTGTGAGGTTGGATGGGTGCTTTGGCACTTGGGGTGTTTTGGCACTTGGGGTGCTTTGGCACTTGGGGTGTTTTGGCACTTGGGGTGTTTTGGCACTTGGGGTGCTTTTGCACTTGGGGTGCTTTGGCACTTGGGGTGCTTCGGCACTTGGGGTGCTTTGGCATTTGGGGTGCTTTGGCACTTGGGGTGCTTTGGCACTTGGGGTGTTTTGGCACTTGGGGTGTTTTGGCACTTGGGGTGCTTTGGCACTTGGGGTGCTTTGGCACTTGGGGTGCTTTGGCACTTGGGGTGCTTTGGCACTCGGGGTGCTTTGGCACTCGGGGTGCTTTGGCACTCGGGGTGCTTTTGCACTCGGGGTGCTTTGGCACTCGGGGTGCTTTGGCACTCGGGGTGCTTTGGCACTCGGGGTGCTTTGGCACTGGGGGTGCTTTGGCACTGGGGGTGCTTTGGCACTGGGGGTGCTTTGGCACTTGGGGTGCTTTGGCACTTGGGGTGTTTTGGCACTTGGGGTGCTTTCGTGGTTTTGCTGCTCAGAGGCTAGGCTTGGGAAGGTGCACTTGGTGGTTGGGATGAGCTGGTTTGCAAAAAAAAACAAAAAGAATCTGCTTTTACCCCATACGCGAGAACGCATGCTGCCATCTTGCTCGCTTGTTCCCTCCACTTTGCATTCAACTCCTTTCCCTTCAACCTTTCCTTCCACCCTTTCCCCCCACCCTTTCCTTCCACCCTTTCCCACCACCCTTTCCTTCCACCCTTTCCCCCCACCCTTTCCTTCCACCCTTTCCCCCCACCCTTTCCTTCCACCCTTTCCCCCCACCCTTTCCTTCCACCCTTTCCCCCCACCCTTTCCTTCCACAGCCGACATCTCCATTGTGCTGCCCAGAAACCCCTGCAGCGGTTACCTGCTCTCACTCCCCCACTTCTCTCTCTTTCTCCTTGTCCCCTCCCACAGTTGACATCTGCAGTGTGTTGCCCAACAACCCAAATGTCGTGGCCCAGTGCATCAACGGTGGCAAGCATCGCATATCCCGTCTCGTTCCCCCCAATCCTCTCTCATTCTCCCTCTCCCATTTATCCTTCCTTTTCAGTTGACATATGCAGTGTGCTGCCCAGCAACCCGTGCGTCATCGGGCAGTGCATCAACAGCGGCGACGGCGGCTACTCGTGCCACTGCCCGCCCAACTACAAGACCAGCACTCTCGCCTCCGATCAAATTACTTGCGTGCCTGGTAACCAAAGAGAAATGGGGGAGGCGGGAGGCGAGAGTGAGAGTGTGAGGGAGATGTAGTGTTGGGAATGGAATGGATGAACGGCGGCTTCTCGTGCCTTTGGCCCCCCGACCATTTCTTTTCTTTTCTATTCTTGTCTTTTCTTTTCCTTCTTTTTTTCTTTTCAATTCTTTCTTTCTTTTCTTTCCCTGATCCATTCTTAACCATGTTTGACATTGCACGTCCCATCCCTCGGCATGGCAGAGATGGCTGGGAGCACAGCAGCAGTGCAGGGCACGTACACAGTGCAGAGAAAGGGGGCTAAACGTCTCAAATCTCTAGATTTCACATCCTGCACTATGTTTCCCATCCCTCGGCATGGCAGAGATGTCAACGTGTAGTGCAGCAGCGGTGCAGGGCACGTACACAGTGCAGGGGGGGGAGACGTGTGGCGCCAACTTTGGCTTCATCGGCCTCACCCAGGACCAGTTCCTCCTGCAGAACGAGGTGAGAGGAGTGAGAGTGGCAAGAGTGATTGGACCAGTTCCTCCTGCAGAACGAGGTAAGAGCAGTGAGGGAGTGAGGGGTGAGAGGGATAATGAGGTGAGAGCAGCTCCTCTTGCAGAATGAGGTGCGAGCAGTTGGTGTTAAAAGCAGCTAGCTGCTGCAGAATGAGGTAACAGGAGGGACGGATAAGAGCGATGAGGGCAGTTGCTGCTGCAGATTTCGATGCCTCAAAAGATGTTGGCATGTTGGCATGTTGGGCACCTGGCCTGCTGTCAGAGTGTCCCACAGTCAGCATAGTCAACACACTCCACGCCCTGCTCATACCTCATTCTGCTGCAGGAACGACTTTTGAGGCGCCTCAACTCCTGCCCTATCCTTTCCCCCCTCCATTTGACCTTCCCCCCCCCCCATTTTCTCCTTCAGGGAGTGGACTGTGAAGATCTGGGGGCGGTGCTCAACATCTCCATCCCCTCCTCGGCTCAAGTGTGTCGCGTGTGCTACACTGTCACCCAGGTGCGTTACATGTCACCCAGGTGCGTTACATGTCGGCCACATTGTCAACCAAGGCGTTACATGCCTCCCAGGTGCGTTACATGCCTCCCAGGTGCGTTACATGTTGCCCAAGTGTGTTACATGTTGACTGCACTGTCACTGAGGCACGTGACATGTCCCCAGGTGCGATACAAGTCGCCTTGGTGCGTTACATGTCTCTCGGATGCGCTAAATGTCTCCCGGGTGGATTACGCACTACGCAGCTACACTGTCACTCCCCCCCTCACCCACTCTCTCCCCCATCGCACCTCTTCCACCCCCTCTATCTGCGCAAATCCAGCCATCAACTCTCACTTCTCTCCCTCCCTCCTCCCTCCCCCTTCCCAAATAATTCCCCATAGCAAAGAGTTGTGGTCCCACTGGTGCTCAATTCTTTTCTCCTCGCCCCAACTCAACTAGCAAACGCCGTTGCTTTACAACCGCACATATGGCAAGGAAGAGTGTCATATACTCGGATTTCGACCGAGCTCAAAGCTTGGACAATGTGTTCTTTTCTCTTTCAAGAAGTTGTGCCGTCACCAACACAGTAGCCTCTCACACTTGTCAGGTCTTGTTCTAATGCCCAAAAACTACCAAATAATGCATCATCCACGCCCTTTTGATGCGTTTGTGTCGTCGAAGAGTATTGCAGCACAACTGTCGCTGTTTGGCCAAGATACTTGGTCACCCTCAATCCATTTGTTATCTGCTCATCATTGGGGCTTTGGACAATCCTGACCGGTAGCAAAAAGGCGTGTTCCCACCGGTGCTCATTTTTTCCCCTTCACCCCTCAATCATTTTTCCCTGTCCACCCCCCCACCTCTCTCCCCCCTCTCACTCTTCCTCCCCTTCCTCGATTGCCATGCATCCAGCCATGAACTCTCACTTTTCCTCCCCCCCTCCTCCCCCTCCCGTCTCAACCCCTTCCTCATTCCCCCCTCCCCCTCAACCCCTTAGGTGCTCAATTCCCCCCCCCCCCTCGCCCCTCAGCCCCTCAGCTCCCCTGCCCACCCCCCTTCCCCCTCCCCTGTCCCCCAGGCGGATGCGGCAGCACAGAGCTGTGATCCCATCAACAGCCGCTACGGCATAGACGTCATGACCATCAACCCCAACCTCGATTGGACAACCCTGGTGCCCAACCAGCAGGTGAGGGGAGTGGGGAGTGACGGGCGTATCATGGGCTTTAGGTGCGCTTGCATCGACAACACGAGCTTTTGAGACAGTCTCAAATAAAGGTGCATCGACAGCACAAGCGTTTATGTCAGCAATTGGCTCACGTGCTCCCCTCTTCCCTCTGGCATCTCTAACTCTCTCTTGCCTTTTTGTTCCTTCCCTCACCCTCTCCTCCCCTCCCTTCCCCCCTTCCGCAGATCTGCATTCAGGTGGGGGAGTGGTGTCAGGAGCAGCGGGCTACAACCCGTGCACGGAGTACCAGCCAGACACCCAGCAAACCACCTGCACCCCTCTCCTCTCACTGTCCTACGCTCTCTCTCGCCCTCACCTCAGATCTGCATTCAAGCTGGAGACGCGGTGTCAGGAGCAGCGGACTACAATCTCTACACGGAGTATCAGCCGGTCACGCAGTGGTTCACGTGTGCCAGCGCCGTCGCAAACTACGGCATGACGTGGTTCGACCTCTACCGCCTCAACCCCGGCATCAACTACGACTCTCTCAGCACGCTCACAGGCTCTGAGGTACCCATGGGGAGTTGGTGCTAGGAGGAGCATGGCACTTGGAGTGCGAATAGAGGGGTATGGGGCATCTCCTGGCTCGACCTCTACCGCCTCAACCCCGGCATCAGCTGCGACTCCCTCAGCATGCTCACAGGCTCTGAGGTACCAACGAACGAAGGGGGTGGCGCTATGGAGGGTGGTTAGGACGCGTCACAATTGCAACACCGGGGGAGGATCGGGATTGTGACGTGTTTGGCAGTATCGCTCGTCACCAGACTGTACATTCTGCACACCGATCCCTCACTAGATCGGTGTTGCAATTGTGACGCGTCCTTAGTCGGAATGGATTTCAACATGTAGGTTCTTCTTTTTTCTCAATTCCGGCTCCAAGGTGCCAACAGCATGGCTGTGGGGGCTGGCTTAAGGGAATGGGGTCAATTGGAGGGGTGCTGCGCTAAGGGGAGGTGGCGCTAGGGGAACTGCGGCATCCTCGCCTCCCTCACAGGCTCTGACGTACCTATTCCTAGGGGGGTTGTGGCCAAGTGGGGTAGGCGCTATGGAGAGAGGATTGAGGAATCGGATTTCAACGAGCGGGTTCCTTCCAATTTCTTGGCTCGACTTGTGAGTCGACTCAAAGACTGGTAAGGCGGGTCACGGCTCGACCTCTACCGTCTCAACCCCGGCATCAACTGCGACACTCTCACCGCGCTCACCAGCTACGAGGTACGCAAGAGGGGGTGTCAGTAAGGGACAGGTGGGCTGCGGAGAAAGTTTCTGAGACGTCTCAAAAATAACCTCATTTCACGCAACTGCGACACTCTCACCGCGCGCACCGGCTCCGAGGTACGCGAGAGGGGGTTGCGCTAGGGGCATTGCGACACCCGCGCCTCCCTCACATGCTCCGAGGTACCGCGCTCACCGGCTCCGAGGTACGTAAGAGGGGATGGCGCTAAGGATGGTGGCTCTGGGAAAGCGAATAGAGGGGTTTGCGGGACTAGGGAGGGCGCAAGGGAGGGTCGCGACATCAACTGTGACACCCTCACCTCGCCCACCGCGTCTGAGATACCTATGATGACGGGTGGCACTGGGGAGGGAGGCACTCTTTAGGGTGGTTTGAGGGAATGAGCTTCAACAAATGGGTTCCTTCACTCAATAGCCAATGCCACAAGCAAAAGTCGCGTTTTGCAACACACAAGTCCAAGAATATTATCCCTCACAACTGCAAACTTTCGCAAGATTGCTGGAGTCTTGTTCTCCTCCTCGCTAACCGCCCAGATTTGCACGGCTGGCATGCCGATGGGAGCGGTGGCGTGCGGTAAGGCGCGGTCGAAGACGGTGGCGAGCCGGCGGTACACGGTGGGGGCGGGGGACAGCTGTGCGTCGCTGGTGGTGGTGCAGTTCCAGTGCCAGCCGCCGCTCGTGGGCGAACTCAACCGCGGCTGGATGTGCCGCTCCCAGTCCCTCTTCGCCGGCATGCCCCTCTGCGTCCCCTTTTAGCACCAATGGTATAACATCCCCACTTCGGACTCCCAGACCCTCTTCGCCGGCATACCCCTCTGCGTCCCTTCTCTTCCTAGAGCCGGCGGTGTGGTGTGGCGTATCATTATGGGAAACTAACTTACGAGTGAGAGGGGGCTTTTGGACTAGCCATCTCCTAATTTTATGGGAATTAGCAAGTGCAATGTGATGTATAATATGCAATGTAAACGACCCGATCTTCTAATGTTATTACGTAACAATAACATGCATGTGTTATTACATGCCTCTTGCCCCAAATACAAAAACTTGTAATCATTATTAATCATAATGATTATTACTTAATAAAAATAACAAGTATGTGTATGGGTGCTCATGCCGGAGTGGTTAACGGGACAGATTAGAAATCTGTTGGGCTTTGCCCGCGCAGGTTCGAGTCCTGCTGAGCACGTTTTCCCAGTTTTTCGGAGCGACTACACTACACTCAACTGAGACTGGTCCCATGTGTAGGTCGACGTGAAAATGTGTCAAAAGTAACTTACATGGGGCACTGCAAGGATTTACAGAATCCTTACCGAGGCACTCGTTAGCGAGACCATCCCGAGGGTCACGCGACGAACCTGACCTTCCTATTTCGTCGAACCGAACCACTCCCGAGTCGCCTCCGCACCAATCGCAACCATCACCGAGCCATCCTCGCACAACCTCCCCGCCTAGCTAGGACTTCCCCTATTTAGGCCTCGTCACTTCCATTGTATCGTCATTCAGTACTCAATCATTCTCGTTATTCGTTTTACTGCGCACTCTGCAAGTTCATTCATAACACCTGGTATTAGAGCTACTTTCCTAGCTCACCCCGCTTTCTAGAGTGTAATACCCCTCGGGGGGGGGGGGGGACGAAGGATGTCTTGGGGTCCAGGAGTTGCGTAGGCCGGCAAGGAGAACTAGTTAGTTGCTCCTCGCGGCTATGTTTTTACGGGTACTCCTTCGGCACCGCCAGATCCTTGCCTCGAACAGTCGCGATCAACCGTGGCCTCCCTCCCCCCGGGCAACGGACAGCTGTAGCTGTCGCGACATTAAAGTGAGTAAAATTCCGCTGCGTTTCAGACGATTTCAGAGGTTGATCCGTGTGGCAGCTAGCGTCGGCGGACATGCGTCGGCACCTGCATGAATTGTCAAATATACTAAGTAGTCGGGCCTATGCTTAGTAGCCTAGGCCACAGGAAGACTAGAACGAGGTACCAAGTACGAGCGAGAGTTGAACAGAAACAAGAATTGAGAAAAGGATGATTGGACTAGCAAGCAGGTTGGTACAGATAGCAAACCCTAAAGGGTTGTACTCACTATTGAGTACCCCACTGCAAGCTAGACAAATAACATACTCTGACATGAATAGCCTCGATGTCGTCACTGTGTGTAGTTGTTGACGTCGGCGGACCTGCGTTAACAGTTACGCGAAGATTTCGGGAAGATCTTCGGCAGCTAGCGACAAAGGGCCTGCGTCAGCAAGGGCGATATTTTCGAAGCTTCTGTTGAAGAAAAAGTCGGATGGGGGACTCGCCAGGTGCAAATGGAGTTTTGCATCCGAAAATATTGGCGGACGATGAGAGACGATATGCGAACTGCCCGACTTAGCGGGAGTTAACTGCCGTCCCGCCCGAACTGAAGTGCAGCGGCTTTTACTGCATGGCGGGCGCGTCACCAAAGATTGCGGCAGGAGTGCACGTGGACAGACGAGATTTTAAGACCCGCCGACACTTACGGGCTGCAACGAATAGCGGAGTGGCCATATCGCACTTAGCAGAAGTGGGGCGCAGGCGACGGGGGAAACCGGGGCCGGTAACCTCGGAAAATAACTCGTACGACGATGCGTGCCTCGAGTTGTTGCAAGCTAGCCAGCAGTTTCGAGAGCGGTTTCTCCTACCAGAGAAGTCGTTTTCGGGGACAGTTGCAAGCGACCCACTATTAAACGGCGTTCAACGTACTGCCCCGACATTTACGAATGAGTTGGTACAGGCCGCCGGGACAAACGGGAAGAAACTGCCCGACGGCTAAGCGGGGGTTGAAAAACGGCGTGAAGGGCTGGTTAAAAGCCGGTGTGAACGATCTGTGACCTTCCGCCGCCCGAACCTCACCATCCCTGTGAGGATCTAGGATCGAGCTCAGAAAAGAGAATTGTAATTGAATTGAATTGAATTGAATGATCACCTGGGTACAACACGAGGCTATATATAGGCTCGACACAAGGCCCCGTAGCCAGGTGTTACGCGAAGGTTCCGCGCGTCGCGAAGCGTCCCGAACAGATCCTTCCCGAATTCGGTAGAAGGCAATTCGGTGGCAACCGAAAAGCCAGAATTCGGTGCACGCAACCTAGCTCAGTGCTATAACTATAAAAAAATATAGGAAAGCACCTAGCCTAGGAAATCAAGCAATTCATGCATGCATATAATTATCCTATGCTAGAAATAGCATGATAAAGTAAAGGCAAGCAAGCATAGCTGGCATAAGCCGTCGTACTCTCACACGTCCCCCCCTCAAAGCTGGGTGGCGTGAGATACACCCTGCTTGACAAGATAGTCCTTGAGAGCACGGCGTGCATTGCCCATATCAGCTTCTACAACCCATCTGTCCTCAGTGGGGTCGTATCCCTTCCAGCGTATCAGGAACTCGAGGGTCTTGCCGCCGCGGTGCCGATGAGTGAGAACGCGCTCGATCTCGTACTCGGGTTCATCTTGTATGAGAACAGGTGGTGGTGGCGGTAGTTGCCGTCCCTGAAACTGTTGGTTGGGGTCCTTGTAGGGCATCAGTAGCTGAACATGGAAAGCGTTGTGAAGCTTCCATGTATCTGGTAAGCGCAAGCGGAATGTACCTGGTGTCACATGTGCCTCAACGAGAAAAGGACCACAGAAGCGAGGCCGGAGCATGGATGGTAGGTGAGACAGGTTCAAGTTGTGTGTGTAAAGAAGCACCTGATCTCCGACTGTTACTGAGTGATCTCGTCGCTGACGATCGGCATACAGCTTCTGGGATTCCTGCATCGTGGTGAGACGTCGCTGAGTCTTCTCCCATAGCTGTTGCATGGTGGTGACGAAGTCATGTGCGGCTTGGACATGTGCCAGTGTGGTTGGCTGCTGTGGTGTGAGTGGTTCCCGTCCGTAACACAGGAAGAAAGGAGTTTTCCCTATGGCCGCATGTGATGCGTTGTTGTAAGCAAACTCTAGGGTCGGTAATTGTGTGTCCCAGTGGCTGACGTCGTCCTTGCAAGTTGTGCGCAGTAACTGTTCAACCACTAGATTGAGTCGCTCTGTCTGTCCGTCAGTCTGGGGGTGGTATGCTGAAGACATTGCAAGCTTTGACCCCAACAGTCCCATGAGCTCCTTCCAGAAATTACTCGTGAATTTGGGGTCTCTGTCTGAGATAAGTGTAGCGGGGATGCCGTGGATGGTGATGATGCGGTCGAAGAAGAGGCGAGCAGTTGCTTCAGCTGTAGCTGTGGCGTTGGTCGGTATGAAGTGACCCATTTTGGAGAACTTATCGATGACTACGAGGATGGAATCATGCCCCCGTGAGGTCGAAGGAAGTCCTGTGATAAAGTCGAGGCTAACGACCTGCCATGGCTGCTCCGGTACGGGTAGAGGCTGAAGTAACCCTGCTTTTTTCTACTTGCTGCTCTTCATCCGCTGGCACGTGTCGCAACAGGTGACGAACTGCTGCACGTCTGCTGCCATCCCGGGCCAGTAGTAATACTTTGCTATCCCTCCTAATGTCTTGTTGCTCCCGAAATGTCCCGCGTAAGGTACGTCGTGAAACTCCTCCAATAGGATCTGCCGTAGCGGGGCGTAATTCGGTACCCAAATCTTTCCTGATCCCTTTCTTACAGCTAATTCCTTCTTCCACTATAACAACTTCTTACTGAGGTAGGCGATGGGCTGCAAACTGCGTTCGTGATGCTGCATCAGTACTGCTCCGACTGCTTGGTCACTAGCGTCTGCTTCAAGCACGTAGTCCTTGTCTAGATCTGGTAGGATGAGTACTTGCGCTGTAGTCAGTGATGTCTGTAGCTGTTCCATGGCTTGCTTATGAGGAGTATCCCCTTTGAAGGGCATATCCTTTTTGAGTAGGACGGTCAGTGGCGCTGTTATCTTTGCATACTGCGGCACGAACCTGTTGTAGTAGTTGGCGAAGCCTAGGAACTGCTGCAACTCCTTCACGTTCTCCGGTACTTTCCACTTCTTGACGGCTTCGATCTTCCGCGGGTCCATGTGTACGCCCTCGGCACTCACCATGTGCCCAAGAAACTGCACCTTCTTCAGGGCGAAGTCGCTCTTTGACAGCTTCACGTAGAACTTGTTTTTCCGCAGGATCTCGAACACCTTACGCAGATGCTCCACGTGCTCCTTCATGTTCTTGGAGTAGATGAGGATATCGTCCAGGTACACTACTACGCACTCGTCCAGCAGGGGCCGCAGGATGTGGTTCATTTCCGCCTGGAACGTCGCTGGTGCGTTGTAGAGTCCGAACGGCATCACCAAGTATTCGTAGGAGCCGTATCTAGTACGGAACGCCGTCTTGTGAGTCGAGTTGTCCGCCATCTTGATCTGCCAGTAACTCGACCGTAGGTCCAACTTCGAAAAGACTGTTGCACCACGCAGTTGGTCCAGTAGGTCGTCTATGCGCGGTACGGGGTATTTGTTTTTAACTATCTGTTTGTTCAGTGCGCAGTAGTCGATGCACATCCGTAGACTACCGTCTGGTTTTGGAGTGAAGAGGACGGGTGCACCGTAGGAAGAGGTGGATGTGCGGATCAGTTGTCTATCCAGTAGATACTCTATCTGTTTCTTCATGTCTGTCAGCTCGGTCGGACTCAGTCGGTATGGTGCGCGTGAGACGGGTTTCGCATCTGGTTCCTCCACGATCTCGTGCTCGTGGGTGCGTGCTGGAGGTAGGGCTGCGGGTAGGTCGTCGGGCATTATATCCTTGTACTGCTCCAAGACCTCCTTCACTGCTGCAGGTAGCTCCGA